AGAGACATTTTAAACTGCAAAAGATGCTTTGACGCTGACATCTAAAAATCTTCTTAACTGGCTGTCCTCTAAACTCAGAAACTGCTTTACAACTTGCTCCAACCATTAACCCTGTTTTTCTTTTGTTTACATAGAAATGCTTCTATTAAATACTTGATTGCTTGCTTCCACAATATAGGCGTAACCTTGAGAGCCCACCTGCATCGCCACCTTCCAAAGGGAACTTAATTGAACTGATCTATTATCAGGACTAAGAAATGTGTTCAGTGAGATGAAACAATCTACCAACTGCTACAATCTGCTTCTGGACTATGAAACTTCTTTAAGTTTCAAAAGGACTGTGAAACTTGTAGTTTCAAAGGCGGGACTGTGGGAGATCAAGATTTGGCCACCCTGAAATACATCTCTTTACCTTGATTGTTTTCTCTGAGGGACATTTGACCTCCCCCACTAACTGCCTAAAGAATTGGACATGGTGGCTCCTTCCTGGAACAGATCTTCTATCGTGATGGCTGTAAAGATAATGTAGGATAGAGGTTACAGATAGGAAAGGCACCAAGCCCCTTTTATCAAAAACTCTGTCTCTCCCTGACCACGTTATCTATAGATGACCCTGAAAAGAATTGTCTTCCTGCTCTCTGAAGTCCCAGACCACTACCCACCCCCAACACGGTCCTCGCCTTTAGCTGCAATACTTAAGCAAGCAGCTTAGACAGAGGGACGAGTTGCTCATTTCTGAATTTCTCCCACGTATACATGTTATTAAACTTGGTATTATTTTCTCCTGCTAACCTGTCTTGTTCATTATTTGGCCAGCCATAAGAACCTTAAGGAAAAGGGCAGAGGGAGATTCTCCCTCTCTCCCGACAACTGCATAGAGCAGACGGTAGAAAGATTTTTAAGTTAAACCAAGTCAAGAAATACTTACCATTCTCTTTCTTCCACAGAAACTACTGTAGTAAAAACTGAGAATTTCCAAAAGTTCCTGGAACTAAGATACATAGAAAATGCCTAGACAAACAGGAAGTGTTTAAGAAATGTTAACTGACTTTCAAGTGACAAAGAAAATATTTACTACAGTCATCTCTGAAAAAATAGAAAGGTAATTAAGTTCAGTCTCTGTTCCCAATGAATCTTTAATATCATTGAGAAGATAACACACATTATACCCAGCAACTGAAGCCCAACCTAATTCAGCACACAATCTCCCTGGCTCTTCACAGGCTGCGGAGGCTTTATTCACTCTGTGCCCCTAGCATGAAGAAAGCCCCTGGCATATGACAGATACTCAGTAAACGTCTGCTGTACTGAACTGAACTACAGACTAAGAGCTATGCTTATTCAGAGACAGGAAGGATCACTGCGAGCTGCGGTTAAGTTAGGCAAAGCAGACAGCAGGACTATGGCAGAATTTGATTCTGGCAATAATCTGCAGAAAGAAGCCTGAACCACAGAAGCCTTGGGATACTCTGAAAAGGAAAGATGACGTAGGAAAAATGTTTGTATAGTCCTAATTTATTAAAAAGTTTGACGTTTCTACACAACCAGCATTAAAACTCCTGCTGTACATACTACCTATTCATGGGAAATATGATATATAACATATAATAGATACTACTTAAAAACAAAACACCAACACAAAATACTACAGCATTCCTTGACATCAGAAACAAGGGCTAATTCTCAGGAAGCTTTCTGTGTGTCATGCATGACAATTGCAGAAAGGCAGTAAATGCAGGCTTTCGATCTCCATATACTATAGTGGATACTGTCCTTGCTCAACTAGGTGTAAAAAAATGTGCTTACAAAAACTTTCTTTCAGGATCTCTTTATACTCCAGTAAAGCTATTTGCATATACTGTTAGCACTCAGTGGATACAGAAAATCTGAAACCTGCATTCAGCCCTAACAGCATCACATTCACACCACCTGATCATAATCATATCTTAAAAAAGAGAACCCAGCTTCATGACTAGGGTGCCACTCAGCAGACTCCATACAGCCTAACTTCATTCACACACATATTTTCCTTTCTTTTGCCCCACTTGTGCTTTGAAAAAATTCAAAGAATTTATGGAGATGGAATTTGCCAATATCACATCTCCAACAGCTGCTAGTTGTACTAAATCCATAGCTTCTTCAGTTTATTATGGGCCATCTCAGAAAGTGTGCTTAACACAAATCTGGTTTCTTTCAAAAGAAACAATTTAAGCCAAGCCTATTGGGCTACCTTAAGAGCAAGTTACACAGAGCTTAGGGGTCAGGTGTATGATAATTCTGTCTGGATGTAATACTACAATTACTTATGATTAAGCATCTCTAATAGCTATCCATTCAATCTCCCTCGCCTGAAGCTCTCAAGAACAAATGCCTATCAACAAGTCACGTGGGAACGAACAGCTGATTGAAGCACTGCATACTTCAGGGCAGGTGCTCCTTGTTTTCTGAACACACGTGCACATACATACACATCTGATAATGATTATATCTGTCAAGTAATTAAACAGAATTAAAACATAAACTAGGTCATTCTAAAACATGTCTCAGGAGTCCAAACAAACGAAAATGGAACATTTAGAATTTTTTTCAAATATTTCCTGGAAATTTTGATTTTCAGATTTTACTAATTAAGCTTCAGCATACAAAACTGTCTTATCCCAAGAATACAAACTGCTACCATTCTAATTCTAAATGAAAGACTTCTCTCCAGGACATCAAAGGATCTGGAAACCTAACACTAATTACTACATAATCATTCAAAAGAGACATGTGGCATAACATTTGTAAAGTTGAATTGCACCTGTCACCAATTCAACAAAAGAATATTTTATATACAGAGCTTTGAACATTTGATAATTTGGTTAAACTGATCCATAACAAGAACTCCACCGTCAAATGGAATAATACAAGTAACCAAAAACTGGACTACCACAAATGGTTGAAGATATCCAAATTTAACATGCATGGGATATCATCCTGAGCAAGTTAATGAGTCTCTCCGTACTTCTGTTTCTTCATCCACAAAACGGACAAAATAATAGTAACAACCTCTTAGAGTTATCAATATCAAATTAATTAATACATATTAAATTCTTATAATAAAGCCTGGCAAAGGGAAACTAATAAAGAATATTTATATCAGGAACCAAAATTTTTTAAATGAGAATGCTGAAAAATAATAACAATTGAAAACAGTAATCATAAAAATAAAGACACAGCTGTCATGACCTGTGGAAGAATAAAATTTTCAAGTTATTACAGTATGTTTAGAGTATAAACAAAATAATGGAAAAAGAGCTGCCTACTAAAAAAGATAGTTACATCCCTCCAAAGTGGATTAATACATCCTGCCACTTTGACTCTTTGTCATTAGTCCTATTTTGCAAAATCTGATTCTTCCTCCTATGTCTGCAGGTAAATTCCAGCCCTTAATATCAAGGAAGCCACAAAACGAGCCCTTCCAGGAGAGCAAAATAAGAAGTAAATGCTATGTGAAGTCCTTAGCATCTTCTAGTTTTATTAACAAACCGCCAAGTCGAAACTCATTCCCGAACTAAACATTCCCAAACTAAACTGCCAAATGTTTCTGCAATAAAAACTGCAAACTTTCATGTGAACAGAACTTTCCAACAATAGGGAGTTGTTCTAGTCTGTGAACAGGGCGGTGTCAGTGTGACCAACAAAGCCAGGAGCTGGACATTCCTGACACCCTTGTTCCCGGCTAGCCTCTGATCCTTTCCATCTCCCAACCACATACGTTTTTGGAACTCACTCGCAGGCAAAGTATACGAACAACATCTATACCCTGAAACTTATCCTTCACCACAGACCCTGTTTCCACAGCTTCTGTCTCAGACCCTCACTTTTTACCACCACCATTATGAACCACCCACAGCAATGAGCATCAAACAGAGGAGTGCTTTGTTCTCTGAGTCCGTCCACCCCCACTCCCAGTCACTTCGTGTTTTAATTTGTACATTGTGGAAAACATCATGAGATGACAATGGCAACTAAGCCAAACAAAAAAATGACTTGAGAGCTGAGAAAAGACCTGGCTTGGTTACCTGCGGACGGCCACCAGGTGAGAAGTGTGGCGCAGGGCTTTAGGTAAACACGCGTTTGAGTCTTCTCTACTCTTACCAGGAATGCTGCCTTGGAGAAGAGACGACGTAGGTCTTAGTTTTCTCATCTAAAAACTGGTTAACAAAACCTCACGAGGTTGTCGTAAGGACTAAATGAGATAACGATTTCAAAGTGCCTAGTATATAATATACGCTCACTAAAGAGAAGCTATTTTAGCCCTTCTGTCCAACTGTCCTGAGACAAAGGAATCTAATGAGAATTCTAGACAGTGGACAAGACATACCGAAACTCTCAAGTTCATCAGCGTGTCCTGCTCAAAATGGCCCAGATGCTGTTTCAGGGTAAGGGTCTGCGGGGTCTAGGTCGGGCTGGAGACAGCTAAGGTTGCGCTATGTGCCTTTTCATTTCCACGAAAGGCAAGTCGGGTTTGCCCCATTCAGTTCCTTTGTTTACGGCAAGAGAAGATGAACAGCACAGCCCCAAGGGGCTGTGACCGCGCAGCCAGCCGGGCCTCGGAGCCGAGCCGGCCGGGACTTCGGCAGGGCGCCCCGCGGGGTCTTCTCGCCGGCCCCCGAGCCCCGCCCAGGCGGCCGCGGTCTTCGCGGGAGGCGGCGCCCACCGCCCGGAGCGAGCGAGCCGGGCCCCCAGGGCCCTCCGACCCGCGCCCACCCCGGGCCAGGCCCGGATCCGACCCTGTCCGCCGGGCCCCGAGCCCCGAGCCGGACCGGCTCCAGCTCCTTCGGCCCGCTCTGCTCCCATCGCCCCCAGACCCTGCTCTCCCAAGGGCGGACACACGCAGACTCACCCCTGCAAAGCAGCAGCAGGAAGAAGTCGGGCAGCCAGGCGCGGAGTCGAAGTCCCGGCCGCCGCCTCAGCGCCATGTCGAGGGGAGCTGAGGGGCCGCGGCGCGGCGCGGCGCGGCTGGACTTCCCGGCGCGCATGCGCCCAGCCTGGCGGGACCCTGCCGGCCGCCCCTAGTTACCATAGCGACCACCTGGTCCCCCGCAGAGCCGTCACCATGGTGACAAAGAAAGCTGAAGTCTGGTTGCTATGGATGCAGGGATGCTCTGGACCTGGGCCCATAAGGTCTCCTTCAATGAATTTAGTGGGGGGAAGTGAAGAAGCATGTTCAAGAGTGGGGCGGGGTAAATTTCCGTAGCTATAAAATGAATCCATCACTACAGATCGGAGAAGGAACACTCAAAATTTGGGATATGAAGTGTTTCTTATTTTACAAGTGAGGATGCAGCCCAGTTATCTTGGAAGCATTATTGCCTGCACCTTTTTTGAGACCCCGATTCCAAATGCGATGGAATGTAAAACCGCTGAAATCTATTCAAAACATAAGCAAGATGTACATTATACAGCACATAAAAGAGATGTCTTCCTAAAATAAACAAAATGCATAGTTTCTGTTGTAGGTCAAATGCATGATGGTATACCCAATAGTTCATCCGGCAGAAAAGCAGGCTAATTCTTTGCTCTGCTTTCTCAATATTGGGAAATAGTAAGGCTGGGGAAGAAAAATGGAGCAGAATCTTATGAGGACAAGCAGACAAGATGAAGAGAAGGATAAAATGTACTCGAAATTGGACCAAAGGATGCAGGAGGTTTTGAGTGTCATTTAATACTGTGCAAAATTCTTGAAATAGCTTGTTTTGTATCTAATATAGAAAGTACACCCCTAATGCTCCAGGAAACAACAGAGTAAAAACAGAATTCTGAGTACAGTCATTAGTAAAACATGCCAGAGTTTCCAACAACTAATATTTTTTAATGTTTAACTTAGGACTTCATTTTTCATTCAGTTACCCTACATATTTTTAGTATATTTAGTTTTTACAAAGTAGAACAGTGTGTATAATTTATACTAAATTATGAATGCCAAGAAACATGAAATAGATTGAGGTTGTTGCCAAGGATACACCTCAACTGCCATCATTATATGATCGTCTCTATAAGTTTTTATAACTGCTCAAACCTTTGTGAGCAATTATAAAAGTGTGAATTAATTACATTCCCAAAAATCTCATAAAGACAGAATAAAAATAACTCAATCATCTACTATGATTCTATTGTCTTTCTTTTCCTAAACCTTCTTTATGTTCCAATTCACCATGTTCCAAATCACAAGTAAAAGTAGGTGAAAGTTATTTTACAGCAGTGGCCTCTCTCCCTTCATCAAACACAAAATAGAGAAATTAAAAAGAGAAAAATTCTTTTTAGACTCACTGACTTTTTTCCCCTCTGCTTTCTTTTCTCTATTGTTCCCTTTAGCTCCTGGCTATATGGCCAGGCATATTTGCCTAACTGAAGGAACCATTTTGGTTACCTGAGAAATGTGAGATAGCGTCTGACTGTGGACAGAGTAGAGTTTTCACAAACCAGTGCCTCTTTTCTCCTACTGGATTGCCTATGTTTGCATTGTGAAATGGTTCTGTCTGTTAAATGGTCTTCTCTGCTAGGAAATCTTTTGAAACTCAGAACAAGATCACAAAGAAAGGCTCCGTGAATGTTCTATATGGAGCAGAGGTTCCTACGAGAGTGGATGCAGGTGCTTTATTGTAAAACATTGATTTTCCTCTACAGATGGAGTCTGCATGTCATGACTGGTGGCAGAGACACCATCCTGGAATGGAGCCTAACTAGTGATGCACGGACAGGATAGGACATATTTGGCTGTCAAGTGATCTGCTCCTCCTTATGATTTAGTTGTTCCCTGGAGAGCTCTGGCCCGTTTAGAAGGGAATCAGAGCTTTGGAAGCATTCAGTGAGCGCGGTTGTGGAGTCCGTGCTTCTATTACCACATTATCCAACTGAATATGCTTATTTCTAATGTGTGGCTTGCTAAGGAGAGATACATTTCTTAAAAGAACTCAGGGAACTACATATGCTTGCGCTAAACTTGAACAAAAGCATCTGCAATACTTTTCAATACCAACACAGAATGCAAATCAAGTAGCAAACAGTGGGGTTTTCCTGTGAGACTCCCCCGAACAGACTGGATAGGTCGTGGGAGCAGCAGTTACAGGAAGGCAGACGTGGGCACTGGGGGCTGATGGACAATGATTCAAATTCTTGGTTTTTGAAAGCTGCTTAACTTCTTTAAACCTTGGATCCGTTGTCTATTAAAGAGGGATAACAAAGCCCACCTCAGACGGTCACTGTGAAGAGCACGTGAGATAGGATCTGGAACATACTAGGTGCTCAATGAATGCTTGTTGCCCGTGCCCCTTCCCTTTTCTACTATTTTGGTTCAGATCAGACAAAATGGTTACAATATTCCTGGAGAGTCTTCATAAAGAAAAGGACCTTTAGCCTGCACATAATCGGAGAGAATGAGAAGCAAAGAGGGAGTTTTACATCAATGTGTGTTTATTCTCTTGATGGGACTAGATTCTTAAACAGTAACATGACTGTGGCTTCTGTTCCTTCCCTGTGCTGTTATACACCTGAACCACCACCTGAAGCTGCACTCAGCAAGAGAGAAGAGACCCCATGCCAAAGGGGAGTCTCTGACCCCAGAGTCATCCATTGCAGCATCCCACTCCAAGGTTTCTCCAAGACTCTGTCACTCCATTTCCCCTCCCTTCAAGTCCCACCTTCCTTGCGATATTTCCAACTCCATATTCTCACATTTTATCCCAACTATCATCCTCTGCTCTTTCTCTTCCAAGCATTTCTTTAATTTTACTTAAATAGGAGGACACATTCCTCCAATCTAAGGAAAAGTGGCAGACAAAACCTCTATCCCCTCTAACAAGACATGCTGCTTATGCTATAGAACAAAGGAAAGTTCTTCTGCAGTGCCATTTATTTGCATGTTCTTCTCCTTTGTTGTGATTCAGTTGGAAAAGGTCATATTAATGCCCAAGTTTTGGCTTAAAGTGGTTTCCTGGAGAGAGATCTTTATAAGAAGCCATTTAGCAGGCCTTTCATGTTTCACCAAAAGGCGGCTGGGTGTTCATGTGCTAGAAAGTGTGCGTGTGTGTGTGTGTGTGTGTGTGTGTGAAGTAAACATATCATCCATGCCATGGGTGAAAGAGTCACTCACCTCTGCCAGGGAAGGAGTGAGAGTGTCCTGGTTGTGTTACTAGCAGCCAGGGTCTCCTCACTCACTAGTGCACATGAAAACACAACACAACAACCAATAGTGAACGGACAATGACATGCCCACTATAAAGGCCTGACACAGGACTTGCTTCTCCAAGGCTGAGGGCCCTAAGAATTACGAATCTTGAGTTCCCCTGTCCGGGTGTCTGCCTCAATTCCTTCTCTGAGGAAGTAGGGAAGCAGGGCTTGGCTGAATGCCCCCTACAGGCACCAGCGGAAAGGGTCAGGGATAGCGTGTAAAGGACACTCCAACTCCGACACTCTGCAGACCGCCTGTGAGAAGGACACCTGTGGGGAAATAAAACAGACAGCTCTTTTTTTTCCTCCACTTGAGCTGATGGATATTTCCACTTGCCTCGGGACAAGGCGAGCAACTTTTCCCACTCTGTGCTTCAGGGCCGGGAACACGATGAGCAGGAGCATTAAGGACGCTCGCGTGCTCTCTGAATTTCTTGGAGCGGAGTGGCGGAGCGCCTGCTGCTCCGTGAGGCCGTGGGCGGGAAGGCTCGGGGGCAGACGCTGCGCTACCTGCGGCGCTGTGCTGCTCCACTTGTGCGCCTCCAGGAAGCGCCAGCTGCTCTGTTTACAGATTGGAGATGTTTTTATCCCAAGCTTCCAATTAGAGGTAATTTTCTCTTCACACAAATTGTACCGTCGAGTGTTTACTTTCTGGCAGCTCCAGAGAGAGACAGGGTCTCCACCGTGACCCACCCCTCTGCTGCAGGGAAACTCGACCTCCCTCAGGTCCCTGCCAGGGGCAACTCCCTATTTCAGGGTTTGGGGAAGGAGAAAGTTCTTCCTGGGGCCTCTGGGTCCAGGAGTGTGGCCTGGTAGCTTGTACTGCTCAGTCTTTTCCAAGAATGGAAGCATATTTTTTGTGGTTGCCATTGCAGGGATTCTGGACCTTTCCCAGGACTAGAAAGAGTGGGGATTTGATTCCATTTCCCAGATCTTTAACTTGATGAGGATTATGCCACAAGAAGCCTTTTTTCCCCACAGAGATTATTCAACACCCTGTCTCTTAAGCAAGTGGATAAGGGCTCTGGATAAAACTCTCAAGTTTCTCTTTAATCCCATGGAATTGTATTCTCACAAAATTTAGGATTGGGAAGAGTGGATGTGTTTAGTCCTCTCAGGTGATGTCAGATCCTTAAAGCACTCAAGAGCACAGCAGAGACTTACTACAGTTGGGATGGCCACTCTTCGCCCTACAAAACACAGAGGTCTTGAATCACCTGTCCCCTAAGGACACCTTCGTTTCTGCACCCTTTGTACCCTGAGGTCTAGCCTTATTCCATTCATTCTTTCCAGGCAATATTTTGTTTTCTGGCCAGGCATTGTGCCCTAGAATTGCACTGTCCAGTGCACCCCAGGCGTTGCACTGCTCCTGCACAGGACAGACCACAGAAGGGATAGGGAGCTCTGCTAAGCATGAAGATACTCCTCGCACACCCACAGGGATGGCTGCCCACTGCCACCAGCCTAGTGTAAGCTTCATCATTTTTTCATCTGGATTGTTAAAATGATCTCTAGGCACCTGCATATAACTTCCGTCTATAGATCTTTCTTTTCAAAATTATAAGTAGTACAGGGCCTAGAACAATAGTAGGTGCTTAGTAAATATCTGTGGAGTGAATGAATGTAAGAATGTAACGTGTCGTGCAGAACCAACATCAGCTCATGTTGTTCTGCTTAAAATTCTTAAGTGGCTCCTCATTACTTTCAGAATCTAGTTAAAATCTCTTATGTAACTGAAAAAGTCATGGCTGAAAAAAACAAGTCCTTTGGTCACAAGCATCACAACTTATCTCCTATTCCACCCTCATCT